AGCTGCAGACTGCAGCTGTTCTTACTCGGCCATCTTGCCCTATGGCCTCCTTTATTTCCCAATACACATACGTGCCTGTATTTTTCTACATTTCCGTGCTTTGTGAGGCTGAGTGCCTAACATTGTATTATTTTTATTTTACAGAGAAGAATAATGTGTGACAGACAGAACACATTTTTAAATGAAAATGAATATTACATTTTAGACTAATATTCGGTTATTAGAATACCGTCTAATAAACTATGGGTCTTTATCAAAATGATGCCTTTAACAAACCACTGAAAGTATTTTAAAAAATATTTTCTTGGTATTATTTTAGCTTCCTTTTTTAATACTTAGTTTGACTTATAAGTTTGGGATTGAATAACAATCTGTTTCAAAAGATTAGACAGATACGTTCATACTAACATATGTACAAATACACACACACTAGCCAAAAATGTCAGCACAAATGGAAAAGCTCTTTGTTAAACTCACACACACACACACACACACACACACACACACACACACACACATTTAAGCTGTTGTTTCTCTTGGTTAATTTTAAATCAACCTAGCTAGGCTATATGCTCGGTTGGTTGGTCAAGAACCATTCTAGACATTACTGTGAAAGTATTTTTAGAGAGATGTACAGTGAAATAAATAAAATTTGAGAAAAGTAGTGTACTCTTCATATGTGGGATGGCCTTTTCCAAATAGTCAAAGTCCTTTAGATAAAATGCCGAGATTTGCCTAACTGAGGAGGAAGAAATTCTGTCTCCAGGCTGCCTTTGGACTCCAGACTACATACAACATCAATTTTGCCAGAATTTCCAGTGCTGAACTTTCCTGAAAATTAGAGACTTAGACAATTTTAAAAAGGAATTTTCTCTTTCAATATATTTATATTTGTGTTTATATTTATATGTATAATCCATACACCTATCCTACTAGTTCTGTTTCTCTGGAGAGTTATAATGCAGTTCATCACTTATTTAGTAAAATATGAAGGATTTATCAGAAAAGAAGCCTACAAAAATGCAGGAGCAAAGTCATATAGCTTCCCAATTGCATTGCCTATTAAGCCCAAACTTCAGTCTAACAGGAATTGCAAATACTCCTAGTGCAAATATCCACTGGAATGCTTGCTTGCAGCAAATTTGCACAGCCTTGTCATTACTGGTCTTCAGGCAATTTCTACTTTCCCAACAACTCTGTCAGGCAATAAAACAAAACAAACAAACAAAAAATGGCAGTGATTTCAAGTGTGATATACTAGGAGGAAGATCTATCTGTATTGCAATATAGTATGTCTTGGCCTGGCTTTTCTCTTGCCTCTGTTTTTCATAGAGCATATTGCTCCAAGAGATGGTATTCTTGGCACAGTTAGGGTTCTGTTAGAATTTTGAAAATAGCAAATGTCTTGCTGTTTCAGTGTCCATTTATGCATATTTTACCCTAATAATCTCATTTCTGTTCAAGAACATGTTTGCAAACATCCAGTTCTATTTTTGAAACAAGTCTACACTCCTGAGACCACATCCTCAAAAAGAGGATACATTAGAATCAGTATCTAGACGACTGTGCCTAGGTTTCCAGTGCTCTGCAAATACTTTATTCCCTCTTCTTTTCCTCTTATCACATATATTTGCATAAATATGCTATGACTTTCCATCTGTTAATAACATTGTACTAGGACTAATGGAATAATCATGCATGTGGCACAATTTGCATTTCAGTACACCCTCTTTGGACTTACAGCAATTCAGTCTAGTTCAAAGTAATAATGATGATTTTTTTAATAAAGGAAATTAGTCTCAAACAGAGCACAGCAAAATGCTAAAGAAGAATGAGGAAAAGGAAGAAATTTTAAACAGAGAAAAGAAGTGGGATTTTCAACTTTCTCTGAGTCTTTGCACATCTTACACAAATATCTCACTTTTATTCTCCACCTCAACTCACCTTCACTGAGGCAGCCTCAGAGTCCATAATTCATAACAAAGTAAAGGTTGAGAGATCCTAGGAATTTGGCAATCCCTTTCTGGAAAATATGCAACTTTTTCTTTTCAGTAATGACACTGAGGCTGTGACTTTTCCTTTTAAGAAAATTGAAGCTCATATGAACAACTCGAACATGCATGCCTCATCAAGCAAAAGCACAATATATGAAAATGTAAATGATCATATATTCATTTGGTAAATTAAACATGACACATTCAGGCCTATGACTTGAAAACATTGTGGTTTAAACTAAAATGAACAAAACTTACTTACAGAAGAAAAGGAGGAATTAAGAAATATGATACATAGTAAAAAATTACTTTGATTTTTTTTGATGAATGTAGCAGTAAAATATCCTTTCTTTGCCCTTATATTTTGTTTTAGTAATAACTCAGTACTCTATAATATAAAAACAAAAGATATGTTGTCATTAAGAATTGGATTCAAATTCTAATCATATTACACAATTATCTTCATCAAGTTAATTCAGATTTCTAAGACTTTGTAATATGTAAAATTATGGTACTACTATAAACACAAACAATTCCTATAAGATTAAATGAAAAAGTCCAGGTAATTTTATTTGCATTCTGTCTGGTGCATGGTAGGTATTCAGTAATTATTAACTGGCTGCCTTTATTTTCCAAGCATAGTATTTTGAGAGTAATTTTTCTTTTTTAAAAAAATTTACTCAGTATTTATTTTTATAGATTTAGGGGTTACGGGAAGTTTTGTTACATGAATATATTGATTGCATCTTGGTCAAATCTAGGCTTTTAGTGTATCCATCACCTGAATAGTGTACATTGTTTCCATTAGGTAATTTATCATCCTTTACCTTTCTCCCATTCTCCCACCTTTCCAACTCTTGAATATCTTTTATTTCACTCTCTATGTCTATGTGTGCACATTATTTAGCTCTCATTTATAAGTGAGAACATGTGGTGTTTTACTTTCTGTTTTTGAGTTGTTTCACTTAGGATAATGGCCTTCAGTTCCATCTACATTTCAATAAAAGACATGATTTTATTCTTTTTTATGGCTGAGAGTATAATGCGGTATATATATATATATATATATATATATATATATATATATATATATACATTTTCTGTATTCAATCATCCATTGACGAACACTTAGGCTGATTCTATATCTTTGCTATTGTGAATAGTGCTGAGATTAACATGTAAATGCAGGTCTCTTTTTAATATAGTGGTTTATTTTCCTTTGGGTAGATACCCAGTATTGGAATTGATAGATCAAATGGTAGTTCCATTTTTTAGTTCTTTGAGAAATCTTGACACTGTTGCCCACAGAGGTTGTACTAACCTCTATTCCCACCAACAGTGTATAAGGATTCTCTTTTCTTTGCATCCTCACCAAAGTCTGTTATTTTTTTGACTGTTTAGTAATGAAAATTATGATTGGTATGAGATGGCGTCTTACTGTGGCTTTAATTTGCACTTCTCTGACGATTAATAATGTTGAGTATTTATATGCTTGCTCACTATTTGTACATTTTCCTTTAAAAATGTCTTCTCCTGTACTTTGCCACTTTTTGATGGGGTTATTTATTTTTCTTGTTTAGTTGTTTGGATTCCTTGTAGAATCTGGATATTAGTCCTTTATTAAATGCATAGTTTGCAAATAGGTTCCTGTTCACTCTGTTGATTATGTCTTTTACCATGCAGAAGCTTTTTCAGTTTAAGTCCATTTGTCTGGTTCTGGTTTTGTTGCATTTGCTTTTGGGTTCTAATTCATGAAATCTTAGCATAGCCCTATGTCCAGAAGAATCTTCTCTAGGTTTTCTTCTAATTTTGTTTTTGTTTTTGTTTTGAGATGGAGTTTTGCTCTTGTTACCCAGGCTGGAGTGCAATAGCGCAATCTCGGCTCACCGCAATCTCTGCCTCCTGGGTTCAGGCAATTCTCCTTCCTCAGCCTCCTGAGTAGCTGGGTTTACAGGCATGTGCCACCATGCCCAGCTAATTTTTTGTATTTTTAGTAGAGACAGGGTTTCACCATGTTGATCATGATGGTCTCGATCTCTTGACCTCGGAATCCACCGGCCTCGGCCTCCCAAAGTGCTGGGATTACAAGCGTGAGCCACTGCGACCGGCCTTTCTTCTAAAATTTTAATAGTTTTAGGTCTTACATCTATGTCATGGATCCATCTTGAGATAATTTTTGTATATCCTGAGAGATATGTGACCAGTTTGATTTTTCTGGATATGGCTATCCAAATTTCCCAGCACCATTTATTGAACAGAGTTTCTTTCCCAAGAGTATGTTTTTGTTGACTTTGTTGAAGATCAGTTGCTTGTAGGTAGGGTCTTGATTTCTGGATTCTCTATTCTGTTCTATTGATCTATGTGTCTATTTTATATTATACCATGCTATTTTAGTTACTATTTTCTAGTAATACAATTTGACATAATATAACGTGATGCCTCCAGCTTGGTTCTTTCTGCTTAGGATTGCTTTGGCTATTCAGATTCTCTTTTGGCTCTATATGAATTTTAGAGCTGTTTTTTCTAATTCTGTGAAAAACGATGTAGGCATTTTGATAGAAATTGCATTGAATCTATAGATTGCTTTCGAGAGGATGGTAATTTTCATAATATTCATTCTTCCAAATCATGAGCATGAGCTGTTTCTCCATTTGCTTGTGTCATCTAAAATTACTTGTGTCAGTGTTTGGTAGTTTTTCTCTGTAGAGACCTTTCATCCTACATTTTATTTTGTTTACTGGTAACTATTATTAAAGGGAGTGACTTACTGATTTGGTTCTCAGCTTGATAGTTATTGCTATCTAGAAAAGCTGCTAAATTTTGGATGTTCATTTCATGTACTGAAACCTTACATAATTTATTTATGAAATCTAGGAATCTTTTGGAGGAATCCTTAGAGTTTTGCAGGTATAAGGTCATACCATCAGCAAAAATTGATAATTTGACTTACTGTTTTCCTATTTGAATGTCTTTTATCTCTTTCTCTTGCCTGATTCCTCTTGCCAGGACTTCCAGTATTACGTTGAATAGGAGTGGTGAAAGTGGCCATCTTTGTCTTGTTCCCGGTCTTGGGGGAATGCTTCCAACTTTTCCTCATGCAGTATGAAGTTCGCTGGGTGAGTCTTATATGGCTTTCATTATTTGTCTTATGTTCCTTTGATGCCTAATTTGTTAAGGGTTTTTCTCACCAATTGATGCTGAATTTTATCAAATTTTTTTTCCTCATCTACTGAAATGATCATATGGTTTTGTTTACAGTTCTGTTTATGTGGTGAATCACAGTTATTGATTTGTGTATGAAACATCCTTGCATCCCTGCAATAAAACCTACTTGATCATGGTGTGCTGTCTTTTGATGTGTTCTTGAATTCAGTTTACTCGTATTTTGTCGAGGATTCTGGTGTCTATGTTTATCAGGGACGTAAATGTGTAGTTTTATTTTTTGTTGTTGTTGTGTGCTTGTTTAGATTTGGTGTCAGGGTTATTCTGGCCATGTAGAATGAGTTAGGGATAATTCCCTCCATATTCTCAGAGTAATTTTTCTTGTTGGTATTTTAAGACAGGGATAAGAGAACTCAGTGGAATGCCTAGAACAATTTTCTATAGACTACTATAGATATTCCTCACATAGATTATATGGTCAAGTAAGTTTAGAAATGATGGATTAGACCTATTACTTTACCATAAAGCTTCTTAAAGCCTTTAATAGGCTAATTTCGAATACAAAGGAAGATATAGAATATGGTGGTTCTAATGCATTTGAACAAGCAACTCTTCGTTTTTTGAGGCTTTTGTAGGTATAAGGTTATATAGTACGTATGTTAGAATACTTTGCAAGACTATTTTTAAAATAATTGCCAAAATTCTTTTTTACGTTGACTTACTTCCAGCCTTTTGTTGATAATAATAGTTTGAGATCCTACTCATCCTTGAAAAAATGACTCAAAGATACATTTCCAGTATTTATGTCTTACCTACTACTTTTGAGAAGACCGCTTTCTTTTTTTTACTACCGATTTGAATTAAATTCCATATAGTGAGTATTTGCCAATTGTTTTCTTAAGATCCACATGCCCTCACAACATCCTGCTGCCATTCCTGTTCTTTCAACCACACACACATGTGCACACACAACTAACACATACACACACCACTAACATACACACACCACTAACACATACACACACCTGTTGCTTCCCAACGATACTTCTATGCCTCATCAAAAGTATGTGTCTCCTATTCTTTGTAAATCAAGCATCTTGGGAAAATTTATCAAAAGTTTTAAATAAACTCTTAAGTTATAAATAGAAAGAGTGTTCAGTTTCATCCCCTATTGGTATTATCAATATTGAAAAACTCATACGCTTACATCATCAATAAACTTCAGTATTAAGATCACTTTATTTGGGGCCATTTACAAAGACTATACTGACTGAACAGACTTCCTGTTCAGGAAAATTTATTTAGAGCTATTATAGGCATGTAGAATAAAAGGATCCACTCTAACAAATGAACCACCTAGTCTTCCTTTCCCCTCCTTTCTATCGTTCCTCCCCTCTTCTCTCCCTCTGCCCTTTTTTCCTCCCTTCCTTCCTTTCTTCCTTCCTTCCTTCCTTCCCTTTTTATAATCTATAACTGTGATTATTATAAAGCCCACATTCAGCTTTTTAAAATTTTTTACTCTTTATTTCATAGATCCCTTACCTATTGAAGATTTCCCATCCATTATTTACTTTAAAGTATTATCTTCACCAAATATAAGGTCTGTGTAAAACTACAAACAAATATTTTTTAAAAGATTATTGTAGTATAATGGGAGGATACAAATTAGAGAAAGTATTATATGTTCTAGGCACTAAGATGTGTGGTTTAAGTTGGTTATTTCATTGAGTTATCAAACAATTTGAAAAGTAAAACATTACCTCTGGTTATTTACTGAGCATTAAGTATGTGTCAGATACTATACAAAACACTTTAGTTACATTAACTTATTTCGTCTTCACGACACCTTCAATGAAGTTTTAAAAATATACTCATTTTATAAATGAAAAAATAGGGCTCTGGAAAATTACAAATCTTCCTATGGCCACACAGCTAGTAAATAGAAGAGCTGCAAGTCAAAGCTAAGCAATCCAGCAAAAGGTTCTGCTTAACTGCATCTTACCAGTTTATGGAAAAGCCATCATTCAATCTCAGATGAAGCTGAGTTTAAAGCCCATACACTTTCTACAACGGTCCACTAACATCCAAGGATTCAGTGCTTCTGAGTTCTTGTTTTAGCCTTGCCACTAACAACGTACTCTGGAATAAGCTGTTTAATTCTGAAGAAATCTCAGTAAACTCCCCATCAATAAAGATTCTTTGTTTGTTTTGTTGTTGACATTATTTATTTAAACCTATGCCCATCTGTTCAAACTTTAGGCTTGGGCATTTAATTGCAGGAGTACTATGTGGAAAGCTATACTTACCATAGGTATATTTGAATGGGATTTAGTATTTGAGTTTGCTGCCAGACAATAGAGGTAGAAAGACAGTTATTTTACCATTCTTTTCATATATTAAGGAAATGCATTTGGTTGCTTCAGTTCCTTATTATAATTGTTTCTATATGAAGGCTTTCCACATTCTCTTATTTATTCAGTCAGTCATTTAGTCACTCGCAGTCAAGTGTATCATATATGTCCCGTGGTGTTTTAGGTCCTCAAGATACAATGGTAAAAAAGGCAAAGCCAAGCCCCTGTCTTCATGTAGCATCTTGTCTGGTGGATACCTATAGCTGGAAAAGTCTGGATATTTTATTTTATCACAGCCTTCAAAAATTATGAAATTGTGGTGAATTGTTGCTTCCCAAAGCTTGCTGTCAATTTATTTCAAATGTGGCATTACTGTGAACTGAAAAATGTTTAATTTTGTTAGTCTTTGGTTGATTCATGAGGTTTAGTAATGTAAGAAATTTCCTCCATAATTATCCAGAATGCTGTCTCAGTCAATCCAGATACTTTTTCTATGTACACTCCATAAGAGGTTTCACCAAAGTCCTCTTCTTTTCTCCTTTTCTATTTTATTACTTGCAGGCATATCATGTTTGTATTTTAGCTATTTTTTTTCATTGTCTGTATCATGGGTGGTTTTTCATTTTAAGCACAAACATTTATTTGCTCCAACCTCACTCTATTCTTCCCTTCCTCCCAAATGTTAGGTTCTGTAGTACAGAAACCGTATATTGCAGACATGTAGCTTAGTGCCTGATGTATAGTATTTGCTCAAATAATATAACATAAAGGAAAACTCTATTTAAGTGGCTGGAGTGGGTCCCAGTGAGACCACCAATCATTTTGAGAAGGAAAGTAAGATTGAAATTTTTGGAGGAAGAGTAAACCACCCAAGATATTCTAACACTTAAAATGACTGCTGCTATTGCCTTGCTGCTTTCTGTTCCCAGATTTTACCCCACCCTGTAACACCCTGTTGTTGCTGAGAGGAATTTGATTGTCAGACAGAGATAGTGAAAGGCTTTTGTCTATATCCAATCCTCAATAGCTTTTGCAGGCATAATGCAAACTTCGTGGTGCATCATGGATATTTCAAGTTCACCTGGCAAAAACAAGTCGAGAAGTGAAAAGGTAGTCAACGGGCACACAGGTGGCTGTTCTTGCTCTGTGACACCAACAACAGGTGGTTGTGATGACTTTGTGTGGTGGGCATTAGTCTACAGCAGCAACATTCTCCCTAAATTCAGACTTCCAAATAGAGATATATGAGTCACCATTTTTCTTCTTTCATGAGGGCTCTGCTTTGTCTCTAATGTATCTGCTCCAGCTCTAAGAATGGAGAGAGGCAGCTTTTCTGGCTGGATGAATTGGCTGCATAAATGTAATCATTAAATGTTTTAAAACTGGATCTGAATTTGAAGGTGTTCGAAAATTCACATGAGGCCATTCTTTGTGTGATTTTGAAATTATTTTCAATTACAGATTAGAGCACGGCAGTGTCTGTAATATCATTTAACAAGTTATAATGTGTCCTTTTATCATTTTTTCCCCTCTGATTGAGATGGGCACCCTTAAGCCGACTGACAGGTTCCTGAGTGCTGACATTCACTGCTCCGGCAAATGGGAAGGAGTACAATGATGCTGCAAATGAGTGCCAATGAAAGTGATAGATCTTTAAGATAAATTGCACACCGCTTCCAAATTGGATGTAATTGGCATGTATTCATCAAATTTTGAATTTGGACTCAATAGTAACAGGAAGTTCGTATTGAAACATTGAATAATGAACACTTATAAAATAGAAGTCAATGATTGTGTATATGCATATGAAAGAAGAAAATTCACAAAAAGTATTCAGTAGCTGGTTTTCCCAGGTCTAGAGACAATTAGTACGAAGAGCATAATACATTTATATTTTAGATACCCTCATGTATATGCATCTATGTGTGTGCATTTTGATCTCTGTATCTACTTATCTCAGCTTTTTTTTCATCTACCTACCATTAAATTTCCAAATAACTTACTGATTAACTATATTCACTGTTGGAATCCACGCCTACAAAAGAAAACAAGTTTAAATGAGAAAAGCTATTTTATACTTACTAAACTTACCCATTGAGTACTGACCTGAGAATGATGGGAAAACCAAAGAATTAGAAGAAACTAGACAGAGAATAAGATTATAGAAAGAATAGAGACACTTCATGGATGATGAAAAAAAGAAGAAATGGTGAATGGCTGCAGTGGCAAGAATACAAGAATTAGTAGTATATGATGTTTGACAGACAGATTTAGACAAATTATGGTGGTCATTGAAGGAGTCTGGATGTTATTCAGTAGGTCTGTTAGATTGTCTTAAATATTTGCATCGCAGAATTACAGGATTACAAGGGTTTATAGAGATATGCATGATGAAATTACATGACAGAATTACTATGGTATACATAGAACAGTAGGTCATTTCTTCTACATACACACACATGTGCACACACACACATATATATACACACAAACACAGGCAGTCTATAGCTGGTAACAAAAATTCTATTGCCATCAGAGACCTAAATTCCACATCTTCTGCATATGATTTATGTTTGATCTTGTCCATTCCAGTGATAAGTTAG